TTGTCCGTCTGTTCAATATTCCCGAGCTGCTCTCTCTCGCTCCTATTTCTGATGGAGTTCCAACCGAAACGCGTGCGTTCAAGTTTGTGCCAGTTGAAAGTTCTGATTACACGTTAGGGTATCGTGACTGAATAATATAATTGTTGTGTTTTTCTATTGATTTTCTCAAAACCAATATAGGGAGCCTGAATTCCACAGTTCTGGTTTGAGAAGTCACAGACTATCAATGCCACGTCGACGGCGTCGTCGTGATCCCGATTTCGGGGAAGAGATTTTTCAAAAGTATTCGATTTGGATTCCTATAGAAGACGAAGAGCAATCATCGGTCGATTTTGAGACAATTATCAACGACCTCTCTCTCGAATATTCAACCCCGTTGTTCAAACCACATGTTACTGTTGTAAGCGGACTGGGCATCCAGAGTCCATTGGTTGCGTTTTACAGATTGGAGGACTCCTGGGCCTGAATTTGGAACAAGTGACCGCGGCTGCGAAACGAGCGGCAAGGTCGATTGCTCCCTTCCCTGTTCAATTTGGGGACATAGAAATTGGTCAAACAATGTATCGCTGTGTCTATCAAAAGTTTTCAGAAACATCAACCGCTAAGTTGATGGACCTGCATCTCGCTGTGAGAGGAGAATGCTACAAAGGAGTTGAATGGCCTCCTGGGGGCTACTTGCCTCATATCTCCCTTGTCTATGATTTGAAGCAAGATTCAAACAAGAACGAGGTCGTTGGTAAGATTTCAAATTAAGACTTCTGATGCGATTTGCGCATTTCTACCAGAGAAGATGAAGGAGCGGTACTGGAACATTCAAGACGGGAAGGGAGGACTATTTGTTAGACGCATCGCAGTGATGGACACAGATCTGTCTCAACCTGTTTCGGAATGGAAGATTATAGAAACGATAGAATTGGGAGCTGAAGAGACTCCCCATTGCTTCTGAATTTTTGATTAAGACCTTGTGGGGTTAACGGGTGGCTATAGACATCTTGCCACCCATCACAGAATACACATCAGGACCACTGAGATTGACTGTCCCTAGCGAGTCCCAATGAAACAGAATGGCACGCCTGCATTGTGACAGTTTCGCTGCCTCAAAATGTAAGTCGATAGTCCTCATCGTGTGGACCTGCTTTGAAAATGAACGCTTCCTTGTTGCCTGGTCAGACGCCCTTACTTTCTTGTGGGGGTGCTTTCCCTCGTTTCCAAAAGCCTCTTGTCCTCGCACTTATCGTGCAATGACGGAAGCGACTTCAACCGGTTCCTTCAAGCGGAGAGACCACTTAGCGGCTATAGAAGCGGACATTCAGAAGTTATGGACCGACGCCAAAGTCTACGAGTCAACAGCTCCACAAAATTGTCCTGATGATGTCAACAAGGATGAGAAGTTCTACTGCACGTTTCCGTATCCATATATGAACGGCCGTTTGCATCTCGGTCACGCATTCACAGTGACAAAAGCGGAGTTTCAAGCCAGATATCAGCGGCATCTCGGCAAGCGCGTTCTCTGGCCGTTCTCCTTTCATTGCACTGGAATGCCAATCGCTGCCTGTGCTGATAAATTGAAACGGGAAGTAGCTGAGCGAGAGCAAAAAGAAGGACATCTTTCTCCAACTGGCGCATTGACGCCCTTGGAAGAAGTCTCTGATACGGTGTCATCTGTTCCATCGATTCCAGTGAGTCCCAGATCTCAACCGAAGGAAGTCAAAGAAGCGGGAAAATTCTCAGGAAAGAAATCGAAGGCTGGTAAGTCCATGGCAGATGTTGTTGTCGCTCATCTATTCATTGTCATTGCAGTTGCTAAAACGGGAGGAGCAAAAGCCCAATGGGACATTATGGCTGCGTGTGGAGTTCCAGAATCAGAAATTCCCAAATTTGTTGACGCAGAACATTGGCTCACATACTTTCCTCAATCAGTTGTGGTAAGAATTGAATCGAATTCATCGGGCAGCCAAATATTCACTGATTTCATGATCGAATTTGTTTATCAAGGACGAATTCCCACTTTTGAATTATTTAATATGTGGGCCAGACACCTTGAGATATTGAATTTCAGATTTCTAGCTTGTAAATTCGTTCGTTAGCATTTTTGTTTTTTCGATGAATTCAAAGCGGATCTTCGTCGTTCCTTCATATGAGGCTCGAAATCTTCTCATCGGATCTCATTTTTAGGAAGAGACTCACACTTTGTTTATTCATGTCTTGTCTTTCATTTGCAATTCATATGAATTTTTTTGGGTCGATACGTTTATCTCTTGTGATGGACGTAACTGAGCTTATCAATTGATACTCCTGATTGTGTGTTCCAAGTTATCTTTAATGTTTGTGTTTACAATGATGACAATCATCGGGTTAGATACGTTTATCGAATTGATGAACGTGCATGATCTTCTCAATTGATACTCCTGATATATTCTTTTTGATAACAATCTTAGTCCATAGAGTGCTAATCGCTACACCATATAACCAATATCCAATCTAAATGTTCTGGAATAAAACACGCTTCTCTTCATCTCAGGATGATTGCCAGCGTTTCGGTTTGGCTGTGGGATTGGCGTCGCTCGTTTATTACGACTGATCGTAACCCTTACTACGACTCTTTCATTCGGTGGCAGTTCAACACATTGAAGCGTCGTAATCGAATCAAATTTGGAATGCGTCCCACCGTCTTCAGTCGTCTTGACAACCAACCATGTGCTGATCATGACAGGGCGTCGGGTGAAGGATCTAATCCTCAGGAATACACTCTTATCAAAATCAAAATTCAAGCACTTCCTCAAAAATGGATCGACACTACCTCTGAATTGAAGGGCAAGGACGTCTTCCTCGTTGCTGCAACACTTCGTCCGGAGACAATGTACGGGACAGACAAACTGCTTCATCCTTCCTGACGGAGAATATGGACTCTTCATGGCATTTGACGCTCCAGTGTCCGCTTCTGATGGTTCTGACGACTCAGGAGTGTTGCAGCGTAGCTTGACCCGAGCAGAAGCTATCCATTCCTCTAAGACTGTTTATGTTTGCTCGCGTCGAAGCGCAGAAAATATGGCGCTTCAAGGTATCATTCCTCTGCAGAGCGATTCCACGGAGCAGCACCGCTTCAAACACCCCGTTTGTTTAAAAACAGTTCTCGGCGTTGAACTCATGGGACTTCCGCTTTCCGCTCCGTTGTCTCCACTTGAAACGATCTATTCCCTACCGATGCTAGGAATCTCGATGGAAAAGGGTAAAACGATATGTGTGTCGATTTTGAGAGTTATTCGTGTCGTTTGTAGGAACTGGAGTTGTAACGTCAGTCCCATCGGATGCACCAGACGATTATGCAGCACTGAAGGACTTGCAGGAGAAAGAAGCATTCCGTCAAAAATACGGAATCACAAAGGAAATGGTGGATATGGATGTAATAGAAATAATTGAGATACCTGGATTGGGACGGAGAGCTGCTGTTGATGTTTGTATTGCTAAGAAGATCAAGTCCCAAAATGATAAAATTTTACTTGCTGAAGCGAAGGAGGAAGTTTATAAAAAAGGTTTCTATGAGGGAATCATGCTTCTAGGGAATCATGGCTGGAGAAAAAGTTTGTGATGCAAAATTAAAAGTTCGTGAAGAAATGATTGAAGCTGGAACTGCGTTGTCGTATTATGAACCAGAACGAAAAGTCATCTCACGGTCTGGTGATGATTGCATTGTGGCGTTGTGTTATCAAGTGAGTCACATGATGGTTATCCATTATCGACTTTGTTGATGCTTATCTATTATCGACTTTGTTGATGCTTATCCATTATTGACTTTGTTGATGGTTATCCATACTCGACTTTGTTGATGCTTATCTATTATCGACTTTGTTGATGGTTATCCATACTCGACTTTGTTGATGTAGCTTGTGGTGGCTCTGTTGTTGGTTTTAGTGGTACTTGGATTATGGCGATGCGGATTGGAAACTTGCAGTGGACAATTACGTCCGTGATCCAACGAAATTCCACGCCTATTCGTCAAGATGCCTAAATTCAGTTCATTCATGTCGTCAGCTGGTTACGGGAGTGGGCATGTAGTCGTCACTACGGTCTTGGGACTTCGATTCCATGGGAGAAGGATTCCCGAATTCTAATTGACTCCCTTTCCGATTCGACTATTTATATGGCGTACTACACTGTGGCACACTTGCTTCAAGGCGACATATTCGGCGACTCTGTTGGGGCTCTTCAAATCGGAGCCAACGAACTCTCTGATGACGTTTTCGATTACATCTTCATGCAAACGGACCAAGTCCCCAAATGTTCTATTGATGAAGCAAAATTGAAGGTATGAGAGACCGATCAGCTTTCTTACATCTATTTCTCGTACAGACACTACGAAATGAGTTTAGTTTCTGGTATCCGATGGATCTCCGTGTTTCTGGGAAGGATCTCATTTTCAATCATTTGACGATGGCACTCTTCAACCATGCCGCTATCCTGGCCGGAGCAATCGACTTCAAAGTGGCCCAAGTACGAACAGCAATGATTCATCTTTGTTGGACCGTTTTCTCTTCAGATCGTTTTTCTGCAATGGTCACGTTCTTGTTGATTCTGAAAAGATGTCAAAATCAGCCGGAAATTTCATCACCTTGGAACAAGCTATTCAAGACTACACTGCGGATGCTACTTCGCGTTGCCCTTGCCGATGCGGGTGATTCTCTTGACGATGCAAACTTTCAAAGGTAAGGACGAATTTAATTAAATGGATAATTTAGATGACTGAACAATTTGTGAATTAGTGTAGAAGTAACAAAAATTCTAGGCAAGAATTGATTCAGATATTCTATTTGTGATCTGTGCTGATTCATAATGGCTGCAATTGATTTGAGCCAATTGTATACACTAAGTTTGCAAGGCTGACAGACCAATAGCTATATGCATTAGCGCTCAATGTTTCTCATGATGATTAACTTTTACATCCATCGGATGATGGCTGCCATCAAGTAATTGATGTTGAGCCAATTGTATACACTAAGTTTGCAAGGCTGACAAACCAATAGCTATATGCGTTAGCGCTCATGTTTAACTTTTACATCCATCGGATGATGGCTGCCATCAAGTAATTGATGTTGAGCCAATTGTATACACTAAGTTTGCAAGGCTGACAGACCAATAGCTATATGCATTAGCGCTCAATGTTTCTCATGATGATTAACTTTTACATCCATCGGATGATGGCTGCCATCAAGTAATTGATGTTGAGCCAATTGTATACACTAAGTTTGCAAGGCTGACAGACCAATAGCTATATGCATTAGCGCTCAATGTTTCTCATGATGATTAACTTTTACATCCATCGGATGATGGCTGCCATCAAGTAATTGATGTTGAGCCAATTGTATACACTAAGTTTGCAAGGCTGACAGACCAATAGCTATATGCATTAGCGCTCAATGTTTCTCATGATGATTAACTTTTACATCCATCGGATGATGGCTGCCATCAAGTAATTGATGTTGAGCCAATTGTATACACTAAGTTTGCAAGGCTGACAAACCAATAGCTCTATGCTTTAGCGCCCAGACAGCTGTACCAGTTTGTTAGGTTGAATCTTCTATCCTGAAGCAGTTTTTGAATGTTCATGAGGAATTGTCGTATTATCTTCCCGTTTCAATCGTTTGTCCTTTGCAGGGACACCTCAAATACTGCAATCATGAGGTTATACTTATTGGATCAGTTTGTTGAAGAGATCTTAACAACGGCAGACCAGCTCCGTAGTGGTGAAAAAACTTTGGATGGATCGCGCATTTGAAAACGAATTAAGTTTACTTGCGCAACAGGCTAAAGACGCATTTGACCGCATGGCCTTCAGAGATGCACTGAAATTTGGATTTTTTGATTTCTCGACAGCACGTGATCTCTATCGTAATCTTTCTGGTGTGATGCATAAAGAATGCGCAATGAAGTGGATCGAGACGCCAAGCCGTTATTCTATCACCAATAGCTCCGCATATTGCAGAGCATGTTTGGACGGTTCGATTGAAAAAGCCATCGTTTGTGGTCTCTCAACCATGGCCGACATTGAACGAATATGATCCTCTTCTTCATCGCGAATTTGAACTGCTGTTTAGTTCTCTCGAAGATTTCAGAAAAGTAAAAGAAAAAACGGTCGCAAGCTCAAAAAGACAGAAAATACAAACAGATGCTGTTTTTTGATGCCGCGGTCATTTATGTGGCGAAGGACTATCTTCCATGGCAACAGACTGTTTTGCGAATTTTGCAAACTGTTCCGTTGGACGAATCAAAGCGCGCTCCTATTGATCCAAATTTCATGAGTCTCATTAAGGGCGACCCAGAGTTGAACAAGTTGGACAAGAAATTGACGAAGGATGTGATGTCGTTTGCAAGCTTCAGAATTCGCGTAGGTTTCTTTCAGTGGGATTATTTTCATCTTTGGAACTTAATAGATCCCCTGAAACTTATAGAAGGAACCCAATTAATTAAGATGATCTTCTCAGACCTAAAGGATCGATAGGCGATTTTTGTTTTCATCTCTTGTTGCAGGATGACTGAAATCACGAGGGCCTTCCGCATTGGAGCTTCAATTGCCATTCGATGAACTTGAATTAATGAAAACCAGCAGTGAATTCATAAAGCGATCTTTGGGTTTGAAAAGTTTATCAATCTTATGGAACACGGAAGCCAAACACGAGAAAGATGAAACTGATCGGTGGGTGTCTTTCGGTTGAATCTTGAAGCATATTTCTTGTTTGTTAGAATTGGAATGTCCCTTCCGTCGAAGCCTAGCATCGTTTTTTGGCAATCTCATAGAAAAACTTGGTTTTTTTGTAACGATGCATTTCTTTCACTTATTGTACTTTCACCCAAATACGGTGGCCCACTAACCAATTTACGTCCAACGGCCCACTAACCAATTTACGTCCAACAGCAAAACAAAGTCAACCAGGCAACCAGTTGGAAAATTGTGGACCATGGATTCAAGTGCAATGAAGACCGGTTGGTTCAATCTGAAACAACTCCCCCCCCTCCGTTGAATCTGATGACCAATTCATCAGGTATCGTTTTGAGCTCATTTCAAGCTTGTGTCGATCTATACATTGAATTGAATGGGATAAAATTGGTGCACGTAAGCTTGTTTCTTGGACCTCTCTGTTTGTTTGTAGCATGGACGGCATACCGGCAGTTGCGGCTGCTGCAGTGATCTGTCTACACAACTGAGCCTGTTTTTTTTTCCTTGGCCTCCCAGCATCAACGTTTCATTTATCCTGCGAAGATCAAGCAAACAAGGACTTCGTATTATTCTAGAAGAGTGTTTGTGTTACGCGGTGTAATGAAGCTGCCCGATTTTATCACCTACTAGTCTCCCTGTCGTCATCTCCTGCTTTTTTGTGATGTTACAGCAAAAGGCGAATTCTCCATTCAGGGCCATTCAATGAAAATGGGATGTCACCACAGTTTATGACACCTCTGTCCTATCTCCTACCGCTCGCTCTTTTCATCAGCCGCCAAGGATTATAGACATGACTTGTTTGGGACTTTTTGACATATTAATTTAATTCACGATCAACAGACACATGTTCATCACACAACAATAAACTTCTCTTGCCAAAAATTTCTCTATTTTTTTCTTTTGCTCATCAACATCACTTCTACTACTATTCATTCTTATGGCTGCCGCTTCCTCCGCAGATACTGCAGGTCAGCTAGGAGTCGGATTTTCCTGCATTCCCACTTCTCATCAAAACAGAACGTCGACCCATCTGTTTGCCGCGCCTCACATTGCAATGAGTCGCCACCTTCCGACTTCTTTTGACGATATCGGTATGAATCTCCTTGACTCTTCCTTCTCATTCTTCTTCTCTCAGCGTACAGGGGAGTGCCGCAGTATGACTACGGCAGGGTGTTGGGAAACGGGTCTTTTGGCATCGTGTGTGAGGCTCACTCACTCGAAACTGGGGAGCAAGTTGCCATTAAGAAAGTTCTACAAGACCCTCGGTACAAAAATCGTGAATTGGATGTGATGAAGGAGTTACACCACCCAAATGTTGTCATGCTGAAAGACTATTTCTATGCTGAAGTTCCAAACAATCCAGACCGAGGGCAAAGGTATTTGAATGTTGTCATGGACTACGTTCCTGACACGGTATACCGCGTTATGAAGACGTTTACCCCGCAACAATCAATGTCTACCCATGCTTCTTGTCCGTCTCTACGCCTACCAAATGTGTCGGAGTTTGGGGTATCTGCACAGTTTGGGGATTTGCCATCGGGATATCAAGCCACAGAACCTGCTTGTGGACTCAAGAACTCATGTTTTGAAATTGTGCGACTTCGGATCAGCTAAACGACTCGTTCCTGGTGAGCCTTCGCCATCATCAGCAATCCATTATTTGTTGCTCTTGCAGGAGAACAGTCTGTGTCCTATATTTGCAGCCGCTTCTACAGGGCCCCCCGAGTTGATGTTAGGAGCCACGGAATATACAACAGCTATAGATAGGTGGTCAATTGGGTGTGTATTGGGAGAAATGCTGCTCGGTCGGCCGCTCTTTGCAGGAGAAGCGTCCGTCGATCAGCTTGTTAAAATTATACAAATTTTAGGAACACCATCTCGCCGACAAATGTATTCAATGAATCCCAATTATACCGAATTTCGCTTTCCAGAACTGCAGCCCAAAGATTGGCGGTCTGTTTTCTCTCCTGTTCCGGGCTCTGGAGTCCTTGTAACGGATGATGCGTTAGATCTTCTTGACAAGCTTCTCAAATTCGATCCGACGGAACGACTCACACCCTTTGAAGCCCTCGCTCATCCGTTTTTTCGACCCTCTCAGACAAATCGGGTGCCGCTTGCCAGACAACAAGCCGCTTCCCTCAATTTTTGATTTTAACAGAAGCCGAACTTCAGTGTATGACTCCAACGACGAGGGCGAAAGTCATCCCCGAATGGGTTGCATCACAAGGACCGTCGTCGTCGTCTCGATCGCGGATTTTTTAATCGTTACGAGCCGCGTTTATTCTGTTTTTCACTACTGAGACCGACCAAAAATCTACCGATGACACTCCCAAATCTCTTATGCTGCGACCTCAATAATTGGGACATCCTCATGCATGTGATCAATAAATACGTCCGATAAAACCATCGCAGAATAAATGACCCCAATCAAAAATATACAGTTATCGATTTTCATGTACTTTTTTGTGTGACAAGTTTGCTGACATGTTGCTTGAAAAAATTGTTTCCTAAACTTGACTTTTCATTTAACAATCGTTTTGATCGTCCTCCGGCTGACCCATTGCCACTGGTTCACGGTTACTATGAGGCTCCAGGAGTGCAACAGACAACTTCAACATTTTCTCATGTGAGAGAAAGCTCTTGGTAGATCCAATTATCTCCAGTAGTCCGGTTATATTGTCAGACTCTAGTCCCAATTATATCCAATTATCTCCACTAGTCCGGTCATGTTATCAGACTCTAGTCCCAATTAGATCCAGTAGTCCGGTTATATTGTCAGAATCTAGTCCCAATTATAATCCGCAGGTTGGTGTTGAAACGTTTGATTCACTAATTTATGGATTGCAATCCTTTCGTTCTACATTCGGATGTGTAACGGATTGTCCAGTAGAAGGATTTTACTATGATGTTGTTATCGAATATGCGTCCCAATATGGTGAGCGATGAGTCAAAAGAGTGGTTGAAACTTGTGAAGCTCAGGTGGAGTTGGAGGGCTAGGGATGTTCAGCTCTGCCATGACTGGTGAGCGCAATTGCCTCAATCTGTTCAACTTACATTGCAGGGCGGAGGTACAGCCTACGACTCACCCCAATGCCAGGGATTACCATTAATTATTTCGGCTTCTGGTGGGTTGTGTGTTTGAGAGTGTTGTCCAATTCCACTTCAGGTTATCTGCTTTGGATGGCAGTAACAACCTTGAATTCTTCAATAACGGTGTTCAACTCTTTCAGTTCACTCCTACTGATCTTTTAGATTTAGTGGCATCGAGACAAGAGTATGATCCTCCATCTTCATTGACGTCATATTGATTGATTGCAGATATTTCGGAAACCCAAACTATGATCCAAAACAAAACCAGAGAGAACCGTGAGAAAGCCCGTTTGCATCTCATTAAACTTTTTCACACAGATACGCTTTTGTAAACTTTTTCTGTAACGAAGGCACGTTTGATGAGGTGCGTCCCTCCGTCCACGTAGTGACAATCCACTGGGCCACAGATTGTGTTTATACAACCGGGACCTTCCAACTTCGAAAGTGATTCCCATACCGTTGGGTTTTTCACCGGTAGGAAGACTAGATCTCCAACATTTCATGATTTTTCCAGGATTGTCTGGTGAAATTGTGGGGAATACGACAACAACTCCAACACCAACTACAACAACTACATCACCTATCCCGTCTGCTGGCAACATCATTTTCATTTCTGCTGCCATTGGAGGGGCGGCTCTAATCGCTGCCACCGCAGCAACAAGCATGATAGCGCTTACAAAAGCTTCACAACCAACCGTTCAAATGGCGTCTGGCGAGTTTGACCTAGAGTTTGACTTTGAGGCTGAAGAAGACAGCACGCGTCCGACAGTAGTGGCCATCAGATGAAGAATTGAGACCCTTCTTAGAAGAAGTTCTGTTCCACTAAAAACAGAAAAGCAATAAAAATGAACTTTCTACCCTTGTCTTGAGGAACGTCGTTGTAATGCCGACTTCGCCCGGGTATGTGGAGCACCTCCGTGTTCGTTGATATAGCGAGCTTCTTCCTCTTGGCGAAGGGCGCTCAAACCCCTCAGGGCGAATTCAACCGCTTTAAGACCTTCAGCGCCTCGGAAAGGCCATTTGTTTAGTTTGAATATATGATTAATGCGTGATTGAATTCTCAAACTTGGCTCTTTTGAGTCAATCGAATCTGAAACTGGGAAGAGATTCACGTTATAGAGAACATTTCCCTTAAGATCGGGACACATTAAAGTGTTGATTCCCAAAGACTCCACACTCCACGTATCGAGAAATTGAATCGATTTTGAATTCAGAAATGCCACGTCGCTCATGTCCTTCTTTTGTAGTGTCTTAGACTCCGCAAGAATTTTTCCGAAGGACTTTGCAGCGAAGGACTTTGGTTTTGCAAATCGCTTTGCTTGTTGCTCCCCTTCGTCAAGAAAAGCTTCGAAAACTTTCAGGAATGGAAGAAGATCTTCAGATCGGAGAAACATTTGACGAACATCGCATGTGAATAATCGATTTTCAAATAGTAGCTTGAGAACGTCAAGATAACATTGGGCGAAGTTGATTGCCTGTTGATGCAATGGATGATATCGATATACCGAACCCACCTACTCTGAATCCTCGCAACCATTGTTCATAATCCGTCAAATCCTCCGAAGGCGCAAATGTCCACTCGATCCAATTGACCAGCAGCATGCCGCGAGATCGCTCAGTAAGGAATGCACCTGGGAAGAATGAATCCATCAATCAAGCTGCATAATGATCTGATATTGATGCAGGATGAACCTTTGGTCGCTCGAGTCCCATCTAATTCGTAGAGCTGAATCACTGGTGGCGCTAAACCAATCGACGCCATCATAATTGACTCTAACAGATTGGATCTTTGAGATTTTATTTATTCTAATAGTCCCACTTTCTTCCTCTTTCTCCGCTTCGAACAGTCTTCCTCTCTGACAAAGGGAGACGAAGCTCGTTGGAAGCAGGGAAGCGAGCTTACTGCGGTAACGGGAACCTTCACAGCAACCTGAAGGGCTACAAAGCTATGGAAAAGAACTCATTGGTCATCCTACGTCAATAGGCTTCTTGTTAGGTAAGTTGCAATCGGTCACACCCTTGAACGCCCGACATGTTTTGGCCAAAGCCTCGTTCGGAGTCAACTTGGTGTAAAACACCTAGTAGAAATTCTTCCCATGTTTCTGACCGGCTGCTCACTCACAAGATTGATGGATTCCTTCGCCCAAGTCCCATCCTTGATATCTGATGGATCTTTAATTCGAGGACACTCTAGAAGTCTCTTAACGGTAAAGGAAGAATTACAAAGTTCAGGAATGGCCTTCTGTAAACGCCCTCTCCATAAGTCGTCTTTGTTTCCAGTCGAAGTTAATAAAACAAATTGGATCAAAACAATAAAAGCGGCAAGACAATACGCAGAACAAAGCACCTGCATGGAATGAATGCAATGAAAAGTTTGTATCATCGGTCGAAGCCACATTCATCCACTCAATGAAGCCTCAATATCCACGTTGTTCTTTGCCTTCCACCCAGTTCTTGAGTCGTAAACCCACCACTTCCTCACAGCAGAAGGAACTACGACCAGACACTCATCATTGTTTCAATTTATCAAGCACTGTCCTAAGGTACATCCACCATCACAGATGGAAATCTGCATGAAACAGGGATAGTTGTCTCGTCCCCAAAATTAAGTGTCCGTCCCATGCAAGTTGAATTTAAGTCAGCTCTTAACGTCGTGTGTCAATGTATTCGTTGAGCTAGAAACTCCTAAAAAAGCCCCTTTAAATGTTCGTTTAATCGATTGACATTCTTCAACAACGGGATTCTAGTTGTTGTCTTGTTGACATTTTTGTCGTCCTGCGTCTACTAATATAAGTTTTGACAATTTGTTCACGCCGTTCAAACAATGATCATTGGAGAGAAATTGGGTGAGTTTGGAGGGTATGCCTTTCTCTTCTCTCTCGTTCGCTTCTATTACTTCTTGCTGGCGTCTTTTGCACCCTTGCTTTAATCACGGTTGTGCAAATCTTTATGCCTTGAATGATCAGCATCTAGAAATTCATTGTTACTTTCACGCTAGAAATTCTCTTTTTCTTTGATTATTTTAATACTTTGAGCAAGCGTCTTAAAATAGACTGCAACAAGTTGACTTGCTGCCTCTTCCTTCAAGCCCATAGAGATCTTCACTCTGGCAAATATCCTTTCTCCGTACTTTGTGAGTCCGTTGCACTCGTGAGAACTGATGCTCAGCAGGATTCCTGGTCTTCATCGCCGCTTTCATCCTTTGAACCCAATTTCCTCCAATCACGAAAATTCTGAGGCAAGTGCTTCTCTGGATTTCAGTTCTCGAGACCGCAAGTTTAAGCTAGCTGAGAGTCCAGCGGTTTCACCCATCAACGCCTCAGATCCATCAACGAAGTTCAGTGATGATCATTTTCAAGACCGAAAGTCAGAATCCGTCGAGACTTGCGGTTCTCTGCGAGCCACAATCAAAGCAGCGTGGAGCAGTCGCCCACATATTCTTCCCTCGCGACCCCCACATGGACTTTTGCACCTTGAAAGGCGTCAACGCAACAATCGAAAACGATCCTGGAGTTTCAACGACGACAAATCTGGAATGTCTTGCCTTCGACGGCGAGCCACATTTTGCACTCCATCCATCATCAAGTCCGTCGATCCTTCTTCCAAGCGTTGCGATTCTCTCATTGACACTCCACGACAGCAGCCTACAGCCCAAGTGAATTCGCAATTCTCTGAAAGCTCCCTGCCCCCATTGGCATCAGAAAATCTATCTTTCTCTTGCCCCCAATCCCCTTCTTTCTCGCAACACCTATTAATGTTTGATCGCAGCAATTTAAACGAGGAGTCCTGCTGCTCCCCAGACGCCGCTAGCGTTGTTACACGTCGTATGCATTCCAGTCCTTCAACGTCTGCTTTTTTCGCAGACGGCACAGTAGAAAGCGCTCCGGACTCTTCCCCATCACTTGTTCCCTCCAACGGCACGCAAAGTGTGAGCGTTATGCTTTTCGATATATTGCGTGGATTTTTTTCAACTTCAGAGTGTCGATGGAGCCGTTCCTTCTTCCATATCGCCGGCTGCAGAACCCAGCCATTCAAAATCTAGAGTGAGTTTCGAACATCATATCCCTCAAACCACCTCCAACGACCGGGAGCCCCCATCGAACCAAGTCCCGCGATTGAATACTGATTTGGATGAAGAGATTGCAATATGGCAAGAAAGGGAAGATCAACAACAGACAGGCGAATCCACAAGCGGTGATTGCTCACCAAATTCTTGCGTGACTTCAAATCGAGGCAGTATTTGTTCCACACCAATTCTTGGTATTTTTGCCATTCCGAATCGTAGAGGCGTTGAAACGGTGCCCAGCAGTCTGTCTTCGGATTTGTTTCCATCTCGTGGCTGGGGTGACTCAGGGAACTCTCCTGGAACTCAGTGTTCTACTGAATTGTCTAGAGGGCTGTCGTCACCGCAAAAGGAGCTTGATGAGGACGGAAGGCGCGTCTACCTCCCAGAGCCTATTCACAACTCTGACAACGTAGTGTCTAAAATCAACTTCCTAAATTCACGAGGTTATAGCAACACGCGCGCATCATTCGCTGGAGGTTCTCGACAATCGGTTGACTGCGGAGAGAAGGAAAAACGTTTATTACAAGCGAAAAATGCGGGCAGACGACAGTCACTTCCTGCTGTCGCGAACTCGGCTCGCTATGCTTTTTCACAAAGAAGAGCTTCTGCCACTCGTGCAATCAGCAGAACCATTTTAGATGCATTCACCAATAAGCCAATTGATCCAAGTCCATCAACAAAACGTCAGAGCCGTCATTTTAGAGAAGACGCTTCAACAAGAAGTCGATCGAGTCCTTTTCTCACAGTGAACGACGACGACATCGCATCCTCGTCTGTCACCTCAAGCCCAGTTCGTTCAACCCAGTATTCTCCATCGCCGACGAAAGTCGGTTCGTCTCCGATGGTTTCCCCGACAACGCGAGACGGAATTCCAAAAAGTCTGTCGAAACGAAGACTTGACGATTCGAGAAGTCCACCATCGAGTTGTAGAAGTTTTTCCCTGAGGGGAAGCGCGACCGATTGGGGCGGATCCCCATTTGCACGATCGACTCGAAAGGCTGATGGGAGTTTAGAACGTCCAACAGCGAAGCTCAGTAGCCTGCTGTTGGCCCGAAAAGAGTCCACGATGTCGTCTGGAACACGCGAAACTTCAAACGATACTATTGACGTCTTCAGCACTCCAATGTCCACATATTCGAACTGCGGAAGGGTTGCCGGAACCGAGTCGACGCGTTCAACCATCCTTGACCCTTCCGAGAGCCCACTCGCGCGGATTGATCGAACACTGTTCCCTTTCAAGGAAGTTTCCTGCGAGTCTCTGTCGGATAGTCGATGGATACGAGAAGAATCGCGCGTTTCAATACCACACACTCTGAACGAAACCGTCGATGGTCGTTCCCCGACCAGACATTCGGACATCACGTCGCTTGATTCAGACGACAAGCACACCACATTGTTGGATCATTTTCAGAGGGGTTCCATACTTCGCGCGATTCTTCAGACTGAAAGATCAGATTCAATGATGCAAAACTTTGAGAGTTTTGAAAACGGAAATATTGAAGGGACAACTTCAGGAGATCTTGCAAGTTCACCTTTCGGAAAAGAGAATGCAGAAATATTCAAACGAGTATCCAGCTGTGATTCAGGTTTATTAAATTCACCTCCATTTCTCGATATCCGAATGGGAACTCCCGAAAGTTGCCGATCACCGAGTCCATTCAATTTGAATTCAGCTGCATACGATTGGTCACATCTTCCGGATGTCCCTCGCATGGCTGAT